GAACGCTCTTGGAGTGCTCTTGGGCGCTCTTGGGGCCGTCTTGGGGCTCTTTTGGGGCTCTCTTGGGGCCCTCTTGGGCCATCTTGGAACCATCTCCAGGCCTCGGATGGCCATCGGAAGCGAAAAGGCGAGAAAGCAAAAATCATTGATTTTCCTTAGGTTTTGGGACGATTTTGGCCTCTTCGGGGCCTCCTTGGGGAGCTGTTTGGCCACTTGGAGTTATCTTGGGGCCGTCTTTGGGCTTCTTGGAACCATCTTAGGAGCCATCTCGAGCGATCTTGCGCTATCTTGAGCCATCTTGGAGCTCATCTTGGGTTCTCTGAGGCGCTCTTGGAGCCGTCTTGGGCCATCTGGGACGCTCTAACTACCCGCGGCCCCCCCCGTCCAGGTCCAGGGGAGGGGGTAGGGGGAGGGGTAAACCCCTCCCCAAGGGGGAAGAGGGAGGGGTGGAAGAGGATCTGCTCTAGACCACCTACGCCCAGAGGGCTGGTGGGAATTCACGAGTCGGCCCAGATGCTCGCCGAGAGCTCGAGCGCTGGGAGGGGGCAGTGGCGCCGCCGCCGCCGCCAGCAGACATACGGGCAAGATTCGGGCTCGGCCAACGCCCTCGTACGCTTCGGTTCTCGACTCGCACGTCTGGTGCCCAAACCGCCGCCGGGGCCCAAACTAAAAAAACCCAGACCCCCTCGCGTCGTGAAAGGCTCATGACGAGAGGTTTTCCGTTGGCTTCGGCTTCCAGGGGCCTTCGCCCGGCCCCGGGACCGGCGAAAACGGCTCCGGATGAGAAACCAGTCCCGGGGAATGGGTCCAGACCTTTGGGGACCGACGTTGTGCAAAAATCACGAAGTCGGGGGCTTGGGAACCCGGCATCCAATGCACCGACCGCGAAACGACACCCAGAGTGCCCAGGCTGCCGCAGTAGCCGCAGCAGCCAGGATCCGCGACGCATTCACGTCGCGGGGAAATGCGCATTCCTACTGGGCCTCGAGTCACCGCGCTCTTGCTTGGCTGCGTCAGTGACCCGCCACGCGATTGAGCTCACTCTGATCACATTCGTGAGCGATCCAGTGTACCGATGGTTCGACGAACCTGTCAGAGCAGGTCATGAGCGCCGCGCCAGCCAGCGCGGGGCCATTCTCTGCGAGTCTCGAACGCAGCAGGTTCACGATCCCGCGGCAGGCATCCTTGGACCCCGGGTGCGACCTGACAGCGACGGGGCCCCACCAGATCGCGGTCGCGTCGACGACCCAGCTCCAGCACCAATGCGTTTCGATTTTTTGTCGGCGACGGGCCGCCGCCACCACCTGATCCCGCTGCCCCACGGCGGCCGAGAGCATTTCGACCACAACCACGAGTCTTGGACGCTGCCATTGGGCACGCTCCAAAGGAATGGACGAGCTCTTCCGGCACGTTGAGCTCGCGCTTGCTACGCACAGGCGGCGCACCGCATATACCACGATATTCGTAAGTTACATATCCGCTGGCGGCGCGAAGCACAGGGCACATGGAGCGTGCATTGATCGCCGCCCGACGCCCGCGCTCAGTCATCCAAGTTGTCGCAGGCATGATCGACGCTTGCCGCGAGTGCTCGGCTCGGCGAGACCGTCGCTTGAGTTGGTCGCGGTCCCCGACCAGACAGCGGAGGGAGACTCCTTCTTCTTTCCCCAGTGCCCCGTCTGGCACATGGACGGCTGCCCGAGGGAGATGCCAGTGGCGCGGGGCATCCAAGCCCCGAGCGCTTGTGATCAACCGTCCTTTCATTGTGGGTCTCTCCGGACCCTTTCAAACTTTGGTTGCGGACGGTGAGCGAGATATTCTTCGAGCTGAAGCGAAGCCGATCTTCGCCGGCCGGACATCGTGGTCCGAGTGCGAGCCCCAGATCATCATGCGCGCATGAATGAGCGGCGTGGCGCCGTCTTCCGACGCGCCGCGCGTTAACCTGAACGACGAACAATCTCGGCGCGCAGGTTCGCGCGTCACCGGGCCGGATTTTTTTGTCCGAGGCAGCCCGTGCACACTCGTTGACGCGGCGCGGAGGCGCCGCCCCGTTCGCCGCGAGGTGTGGCCGACGGCCCAGGCCATTGCCAGGCGTGCTGGCACCTTGCCAACAAAGCCGGCGCGGTTGGCGCGTCTTGTTGACTACAAGAGATAGCGTTGCAGCGGATCGTAGAGGCATCGGCCAATTCTCGAATCAGACGCGCCTCGAGGACCCTCGCCACAGTCCCCTGGAAGACCCTGGGCACATGCTAGAAGAGCTCTTCGATTTCTGTCGAGGCCCATCCACCGCGGACGCGAGCGGCTGGAGTGGGCCAGCAGCCGCCCCCGAGATGGGTGCTCAACGTGGCGCTCTGACCGTCGGCCGCGCAGGCGCCGAGCACTTACGCCGCCTGCGCGAGGGTTCGCGGGCTTCGGGGGGCTAGTCTATGGCGTCGCCAAAACAGATTTGGGCGCCGCGCGGTCAAGCGCGGATAACATCCTCAGGTTTACGGCAAACACGCCACATTGGTCTGGCCTTGTCGACGTTGGCGCCACGAGCACGGCGACCGCCAAGTCGCCACCGGTTCACCAGTAAATCGCCGGGAACGCGTTCAATCTCACCAGCGTCGCGCACGTCCAAGCGCGCGGGACGTGGACGTGGATCCCCCGTCGGCGACGAAAGCCAATGCGGACCTTTCCCGGCATGGTGGAGAAAAGGCCCGCGCGAGGTAGAGACCCGGTGGAGCGTCCAGGCAGTCGGCTCAGCCCCGTTGTGCTCATAGGCCCAGCTATGTCAAAATTGCGTTATCTACGACTTGCCAGTGAGAGCATTGGTGGCCGCTGCTCAAGAGATCTCGTGGACGACGACCCTCTAGTGGCGGGCGTGCCGGGTGGCAGTGCCGACTCTCCCAAGGCCGGCACGCGCCTCGACGAGTTCGCCCGCGACCGCGGCCGACTCTCAGCCGTCCAGGACGGGCCTCGCGAGGACTCGAGTGACGCACCTCGTCGACTCGACCTGGCGGGCGCCCCCGACGGCGGAACCACGGATCGCCAAGCGTGATGCCCCCATGGCAGGCGCAGTCAGCTGCGACGCCCTCCGGGAGGCCGCGCCGCAGCCCGCCCCGCCATATCCGCCGACTTCCACCCTGGTCTCCGACGCGCAGCTTCGCCGCCACGACTTTGCCTTCGACGCTGAGCCTCAAGCGCCATCGGGCGCCGTCGACTTCGGCGACCGCGGCGATGCCTGCGCGGAGATCCTGGCGCCCGATCACATGCACAAGCCCCACCTTTGACCGCCCTGCACTGGTGGCCACCGCGCACGGCTCAGCGCCAATGCTGCAGGGTCAAAGTAGGCCGCGATCGAGCGCGACGCCGACCGACTCACCCTTCAAGAATCCCAAAAGCGCGTTGCAGAAATTGCCGCGGCGGTGTTCGAGGAGCCCCAGGCTTGGGACGACCGCGATTGCTTCCCACGGACCGCGCCGAGGAGCCAGGAACATCTTGGATCGCAGGTGGGTGCGCAGCTGCGGGAGGGGACGGATCTCGCCTGGAAGGTGCAGATCATTCGCATGCGCTTGGCTGCGCGGTGTCTCATATACATCGACGCCGACCTCGTCGCCGCCCGCGCCTGCGCCTCACCGCGACTCTCACAGCGAACGATCGTTACTGGGGCAGCCTGCGGGGGGCGCACGATCAGCGCATTGGACGTCAACAAAGCCATCCTCAAGGAAGCTGCCCACTAAGAACTCGCAGAAGCAACGGGCGTGGATCAGCGCGAAGGCAATTTCGGGTTTCCCCCTGTTGCCGTTGCAGTTCTCCGCTTGATCAAAGGCTGCGAGAATTTCGATCCAGCCTTCGAGGTCCATCACGTGGAGAAACCAGGCACTGGCTGCAAGGGCGCGCCGCGGCGGTGGTCCACGCAATTCACAGAGGCCACCGACGGCTCACCAGGTCGCCCCCGCAGTCCACGACCATAAGTTCATTGCCAGACGCCGCAGGGGCGAGTTTCATCTCCTAGCCACTATACCCGTCGACGACATCAGGGCGGCAGGAACATCATCAACAAATCAAAGCTTCGTAAGTGACGCGCGCGGGGGGGGGGGGGGCGCCACCAATGGCGCGGGCGAGCTGGGCATCTCCCAGAGGTCTCACGCGCTGTGGGGTCCGACGTTCGCCCCCTATAAGTGATCGCGGTTGCGAATTGGACTAGGCTGACCATTTGCCATATTTCTGGCCCGTCGGAGGTGCTTGCGCCCGATGCCCTCGTTGAGCTCTTCCTCAGAAAGGTTGCGGCTCCGGCGTTCACCCTCGTTGCGCGCGCTGACCTTCATGCATGCACGGTCGCGCTGCAACGCCGCGCGGCGGCGCCCGCGCGCGACCACGTCGGCAATCTCACCGCGCTGGCTAGGCGCGCGCAAACAAACACATCGAAGACCCACTACCCAGCCATGAAACTCGCAGCTAGGCGCGAACTCCATTCCGGCGCGGCGTTCCTCAAAGGACAGTGGGGAGGTGCACGTGCCAGTCGCGCCTTGCGCGGCGCAGCGTTTCTGCGCATGGCCACCGCGTCTTCGACATCAGCGCCCGCATTCTTCACTGGCGCCATTCCCCGCCATCTTTGGGAATGGGCACAGGGCTTTTTAGACGGTGACAAGACGCCCCATCGCGAGTTAGTTGATGGCTGCGACACGCCAATGGACCGCGGCCTGGCGCTCACCGCCGCGCTCCACGAGGCGGCGCATGGGCCGCGCGGCCCATGCGCCGCGCGTCGCCAGCTAGACGGGCAGCAGGCTCCAGCCGCGCAGCTCGAGCCTGGGCGCCGTCGCTGCCGCGGCGGCCACTGGGCCGGCGCCTCTGGCAGAGCAGTCACCTTAGCCGCATCTCCTGCGGATTCGAGTCTCCCTGTGCCGAGGCCAGCAATCGGCCTCGAGCTGGGCGGGCACCCGCGACGCTATGGCGGATGGACTCGCGATGGGCTCCGTCGACCGCGCAGCGCGCCATTCTGCCTCCAGCGGGCGCTGCAGGATTGACCGATTGACCGCGCCATGGACCGCCTACCTCTTTGCCGCGGGCAAGATCATTGCACCTTCAGGTCACGAGCGCAACTCAGCCTGCTGAGGGAGGCGGTCGGCCGCGATCAGTGCGGAGCCCTGCCCCAGTCCGGTCTGGCAAAGCTCGCAATTTCTTCATTACTTCTTGCGCGGAGGTCTCATGTCTTATTTCGCGTTGGCCAGGATCGACAAGCCCACTGCGCGCGCGTTGATTTGTCTCGACTGGGAGGAGTGGCGCGGCAGGCGGTAGATCGAATGGGTTGCGACGCCGCTGATAGCGGATAGACATGCGCAGCAGAGCGCGATGCGATGCGCACGCGTGCGCCCGCGTGCGCGCGCGATTGTCGCGGCGGTTTGCATGTTCAGTGCGCGAGCCGCGCGCGGCGTCGGTCGCCCGCGCGCGGGCCCGCGCCGGCGGCCCCGCGTTCGCGCTTGCGCCAGTCGGCCCCTCCACGGCGCCTGCTCGCGCGCCCGAGAGGGCGACGGGCGCGGCCGTGCCTGGGGAGATGGCCGCCGCTGCGACCGAGCGGCTGGGCGATGGCGCGCCCGACAGGCACGCCGCCCGCGATGCCGCGCCATGGGCGGCAGAGTCGACGCGGCGCGCCCATCGCGCGCCGCGCGAACTGCGCTCGCTCTCACCGACTCCGCGAAGGAGGCCCCCGCCACAGAGCCCGCGCCTCACAAGAGTGTTGCGCCGCCGCAGACGCGAGGGCGACTAGGTCAGTTCGCCCCCGCGGCGCGCGCCGCCGCTCGCAGAGCTCGCGAGCCGCGCGCGGCAGTTGCGTAGCCCCGCGGCCCGCGGCGCGGCCCCGGCCACGGCCTCGCCCGTCGCGCTCGCGGATGGCCGCGACGAGCACGGCTCAGACGCCTGCGCCTCCGCCGCCAACTCGCCGCCAGGGTTCGCTGCGCAAGCGCCTGGATGCCAGGGCGTTGAAGCGCGCCCGCGCCATCGCCCCAGCGATTATTGCACGCGCGCCCGCGATTTGGAGCTGCCGCCCAGTTGCCGGCGCTCCTCGGGGCCCCGGGCGCTCGACGGCAGCTTGGGCCAGGCGCGTCGCTGGTAGTCCAGGCGCGGCGGGGCGGCCAGCAAGGGCAGCAAGGAAAAAGGGCAAGCAGACGGAGGCGCCCGCGGCCGAGCCCGAGAGGCTTCAAGAAGACCCGTCGCGGTGGTCAAGGGCAAGAAGACGCGGCGCCATAATTGCGCTGCCTCGCAGCAGAAGAAGAAGCAGGCCGCGGCAGACGACGACGACGGGGAGAAGGCCCCGATCACCCCCCCGCGCGCGGACGCCGCGGAGCCTGCAGCGGACCACGCCTCAGAGGCCGCGAAGAAGCCCGTCCACGAGGACGACTTTCGCACCAGCGAGGGGGAGGACAAGGACTGATCGGCGAGGCGCAGCGCAGGCCATCACCATCCGCGGCCCCTCAAGGAAAGTTCAAATTTGTTGCCCGCTTCCCTCTACCTGTCAAAGGGCCCGTCGCACCCTCGTCCCTCTGCTCTCGCGGGTCGCGCGTCGCACTTCGTTGGACTTCGCTCAATCTTTTGGTCGCCTCGACCGCGGCGCGCGGCACTCGCGCACGCGCAGTCACGGCACTTGGCTGGCCACCTCACACCATTCATGTGAGTTGTTCGGTGCCGTTCCTGAGAGCACGATCGCGCCCGCTGAGTGCAGTCAATGAGCACGCGCACCGCCGGCCTGGCGCGCGCCCCCCAGGTGGCGGCTGGGCATCCTGTACGGATTGGGAAGCTGCGTGGGGTGTGGACAGTTCTGTCGTTACCTTTCTCGGTTCTTCTGCTCCGCCGGAGCTGTTCGATCGCCCGCGCAATCACGACGCGAATATGATGCCCGCTGCCATATTGGCTCAATCACGGGAGCGAGTGTATCTTTCTTCGAGAAAGAACACCCTCGATTTCAATGCATCGCCGCCGTTGTCTGTTTCTCGCCACCAATCCCCGCAAGTCTAGTTCGTCCTCCTCCTCCCCCTCCTCCTCTTTTCCTCCTGTTGTTTTATTTTCTTTGCGAGGCGTCACCGTTGCTTCCAAGGGGCCCCATAGGTGGCTCGCGCAACTTTGCCCAGCGTTGGCGCGTTGACCCCTGGAGCTCCTGAGCCTGGTCACGGCGTGCCAGGAATCGGTGGACGGACGGACGCACATGGTGCAAATCGGCAATTATCTTTCCGTCCGGTCCCCGCGCCAGCGGCAAACGACGCTACGTGGGTGCAGTCCACAAGCGACGACGCCAGCAGCGACCCCGAACTCATGCAGCACAGTGTGGAACACCGCGCGCCAACATCGATTCCTAGAAGGTGAAATGGCCTGGCTTGTCCTGACAGTTTCTTGTCAAGAACGTTTTAATCCTATGGGGACGAAGATGATCCGGAATATTGGGTCCAGGGGAACGAAGAGGACGAGGGGTGAAGCACTTCGACCCTTGCCCCCAGTACAACGACCAGACGTCATTTCAGGATGCTTACCGTACGTTCTGGTACGAGCTTGCGTTGCGCATGAGAGCGGTGCGCCTTTAGACTTCCATTCGGGTTTCGGTAGACCCATGCCATTTTGTTGTTTCAATCGACGGTTTTCTACTTCTTCGCAGCGCGCGGGAAGGCGGGGATGCATCTTAGCTCGCCCCAGGAGGGGTCCGAGCTTCTCCTAAAGATATTGGGGCAACATTTTGTTCGTCCATTACCCATAAAAAAAAAGGTAAACTGCTGCAGTAATCTTTATTTTTGGTGAAGGTCGTTGTTTCGTAACCTAGAATTCCTTGCCCCGTGCTACGGATCATGGGTCTTCGGCGTTGGCCGGAAACCCCCACCGTCCTCCTTGCTCCGCCCCTTCCCCTTGATTCCCGCATCTACAGTTGTTTCGGATCTCCTCTCTCGCCCGCCCCTCATCTCCCATCCTTTATCCTCGTTTCGCGCTTCGCTCCAGACCACCCCAATCCAAAGCGCCTCCCATTCGGCACAATCCCCTCCTTGCCAGGAGCGGCGTACGACCGACGCCGACTTCAGTACTGCATCTTTGTACCGAGGGGGAGGGGCCGAAGTCTTCCATTCCAGAGGAGTTGCTTCCAGTCCCTATCCGAGGCTCGAAAACCATCACTTCACTAATTTTGGGCCCCAGGGCCCACTGAGGCCCCAGGGGCCCCAGATTAGTGACGTGATGCTTTTTCCCACGTAAGGATCCCGAAATTCATCACTTCACTAAACCGAACCCAGGACGAAAGTCAGGGGCCGAATTGCTGCTGTGATGCAACATCGGTCTCGTACCCTCCCTCGGCCGACCGCGCTCGCGCGCGGCGCAGGTCTGCCGCCGCGCGCGCGGGCGGCGGCGACCCGGCCAGGGACCGCCCGGAGGCCCGTGCCGCGGCGCGGCCCCGCTGCCCGGGGCCGCGCGGGGGCGGCCCCCTTGGCTCGGGGGCGTCCCACAGGGCGGTGGTGGCCGCAGGGGGGCAGTTTTCATCAAACGACGCGAAGATCGGGACAAAATCGGATCGGGATAACTCGAAATCTCTGAGAATCGGCGGGTTTGGAGGATGTATTGGGCGCCGCGGCCGTTCCAGAGCGTTCCGGAACGCTCTGAGAGCGCTCCGGAACGCTCTGGAGCGATTTATCCCGATCCTAACACGGTTTTATTTCATGACCTGGGCCATGAGAGCTCTTCGGGTTGCCCGGCCCCTCTTCCGATGCCAGTGCGTCTTCTGGCCCCCTTGGGCCGCGCACGTGCCTCGAGCCGCGATGCCGAGAGCACTCCGTGGATTTCGAGATCTTCGCGGAAGCCACTGGAAACCCAGATCTCCGACGATGCGTTTTTTTATGACTGGCGGGTCCTCTTCGACTTCGGCCCTCCGGGATCGTCCTCGGCCCCGGGATCCTCATAAGGGGGCCCAGGTCAAAAGATTAGTTGCACCTGGGGAGAGCGGTCAGGATTCATCGGGGCGCTGAGGTAGTCGCGCTTCGCTCATCGCAGCTTGGATTGAAGAGCTGCCCCTCTTCAAGGGAGCGGCGCGAGGGCGCGAATCGCGGGGCGTGATGCGCGAAGTTGGGTGACACAACGAACCTCCTGGGACCGCGGATTGAATCAATCAATGTGGAGGATATCATCGGCGTCACGCAAACATAAGTATTCATAGTAGTTGCGCGCCGCCCCCACGGGGACAACGCGCGCGCCGAGAAATGTGACCGCATCTACTCGGTGGTGGGCGTTTTCTCAGCGACAGCGACAGGGGGAGGAGGGGAAGGAGGAGGAGGAGGAGGAGGGCGAGGACGAGGAGGGCGAGGAAGGCGAGGAAGGCAAGGGGGATAGGAGGAAGGGGAGGAGGCCGAGGAGGGCAGTGAAGAATTCGAGGAGGTGATTCGCGGAGGAATGTGCCCAGCAGTCCTCAGACTCCTGAGGATTCCTTGTTACAGCTGGCCTGTCGCCCCCAGGCGCTCCCCGACCGGGGCGCAGGCTGCCTCCCTCGAGGCCCCTCTCTCCCTGGGGCTTGTGGAGGGCGATGAATGGAGAGGAAGCGTGTTGCCAAGTAATTACCAGATGCCTGAAACATGTGTTAAACATGGTTTAAACATGTAAAAAGCATGGCTAAACACATGTTTAGACAAGTGTTCCTACATGTTGAACACATTTTGGCTTAAGGATTCTTGGCTCAAGGTCTCCAGGCTCAAGGCTCAAGGCGGTTGCATTTGAACCCGGATTGATTCCTCACCTTTCACCAATCCATACTCTTTCGGCCCCCCCATACCTTCACTTAGCTCTCGACATGTCAGGTGTTGCATCTTCGCCGCCTGCTGCCCGTGCCAGCACCCGCGCGCCAGGCACTCCAGTCGGGAACCCCTTCCAGGACCAATGGGAGAACATGGCGAAGAAGCTGCGCTCTGGGCATGGTCCAGACTCCCCCCGGCGACCCCGCCCCTCGGCGAGATGAGCGTGGAGGATCAGGTGTACGCGCAGATGCCTGGAGGCGACATGGATGGCCCATGCGAGCGGGGAGCACCAGCTTTTCGCCAGCTGGGTTTCGGCGCTGCTGCGGCCTCGCACAAAGATGATGAGCCCGTCACGATGGCCGGTATTGCTGCTCTCCTTCAGCAGCAGCTGGGCCCTGTGACCTCGGTGGTGGAGGAGCTCAAGAATCGGTTCGTGAAGCTCGACGGCAAAGTTACGGATTTGGGTATTTCCGTTTTGGGCCGCTTGGACGACGTGGGCGCGAAGCTGATCGACGCGGACATGCGCATAGAGAAATTTAAGAGCATCTACGCGGCCATGCAGGCCTCCCCCAGCGCCGCGGAGATCGACGCGAAGATCCAGGAGAACATCCAGCAGGCCTTCACGCACAAGGCTTCCCAGCAGGCGCCTCACACCAGGAACATCCCGCTGGTCGACAAGAAGGCGGTCACCATGGTGATCGGCAATCTTGACTACTTCGGGGACTTGTCGAAGGCCTCCGAGTGGCTGCAAGGCAAGCTCACTGCCTTAAAGGGGCCTGCGCCGACCAACGCGTACACCAAGGGCGACTTTAGGGGGCATTCTCTTCGGCGAGTTCGCCAACACAGCAGGGCGTGACCAGGCGGAGGCACTCCTCCGCGGCGCGGCCCTCGCCGGCGGAAAGAAAAAGGTCTGGGCCGCGGAAAACCGATCTGCTTCCGAACGCGCTGCGAGGAAGTTCTGCTTGGGCCCCAGGCGGGTCTTGAAGTAGCAGTGGGAGGTCCCGCGCAAGATTTCGTTTAACAAGGTGGCGCCGTACGCGTGCAAGGTGGGAGGCGAGCGCGCGCTCGCCGTGAGCGTCACCGGCACCACCGCGAACTACGAGTGGTAGGGGGAGTGGGCTACTTGGTCCGAGCTCCACATCCACGCCTCGATAAAGGACCTGATGAAGAAGTCGGATGATGTGCTCTTGCGGGCCACGCAGGGGCTCAAGGGAGGCGCCGAGGGCTGCTCCAAGTGGCAGCGGCCCAATTAGGAAAGACTGCACATGAGCAACGTTCCGCCCTCATCCTCAGTCGGCCCTACTTCGGCCATGAAAGCTAACCGAATTCACTCTTCCGACTCTTGCAATGCATGTTCTCCAGCAGTCGGCACTATTGCTACCACCTCCTCCCTTGCACCCCCAGCTTCCGAGGCATTGCACTTCCGACGCGGCGCCCTGCGGCCGCGCACCCGGCGGCCCCGGCCAGCAACATGGAACGTCGAGGGCCGCTCCGAGGCAAAGCAAGCAGACATTGAGTGGCACATGACATCCATGCACATCGACGTGCTGTGCATCCAAGAGACGCACAAGACGTGGGCGGAGTTCTCCGTCTCTGACGCTGGACTTCTCATCGCCATTTCCAGCGCTTCGGATCCGGATGACAATGAGACGGTTGGGGTCGGCTTCATCGCGTCGCCGCG